GTAATGAGCATTGTGAGGTCAATCTTCACACTTTAAAATGTGAACCCAGCAAAACCAAGCAAATTTCGATGTTTTTCCCAAATTTTCTCCAAAATTTGGTCCAAATTTGGCGTTTTTGAAGCTGTCATTGAGCATAATCAGAGCAAAATATCGTCTTCGCCCGGAAATGCCAAGCATAATATCGAAAGAAGCGCAGCAAAATTATGCGGCATAATATCGAAAAGTCTCGAGCAAATTTGGGCTGACACTACTCCTCGACGCTTCAGGTGGGGAGGGGCGGATGGGCGAGTCCTACTTGCCGCATTCAGTGCTACATGAAAAAGTACTCACCCTACGAAAACTGTTCGTGCGTCTCGTACCAGTGTACACCGACCAAAGGTCAAGAGCCACGAGTCGTACCAAGAGTTATGTACTCTTGGTGGTACAGACCCGTCAAAACTCGGGTTTGTACGATCCCTGGTCAAGAGGGTACCAGGGTACCGGGTGGGCACTGTTGCGTACACTTCCAACGGGGTTGAGCACTAGGCCTAGCCCAAATTTGCTCGGGGCGCTTCGATATTTTGGCGGCAAATTTTGCCCGATCACTTTCCATATTTTGCTTGGCATTGCCTTTCGTTTCCGATATTTTGCTCCATTTTGCTCCTGCTTTGTGGCAAAAATGGCTTCGAATGAACCGTCTACTTTGGTAAAAGTGGATGGTGACTCTGATGAGGAAAGCAAAACTTATAATGGTGTCAGTATTACGGATTTTGGAGCATGATTTCAAATTTATGTACCCCTGACAACATGCACGAGCTATTTCAGCACGACGTTGGCCCGATGAAACTTTAGGGTTTTACGTCGGGCCCTAGACGACGGCTACTTTGGCCAACCGGACAACGAAGAAGTTGTGACCAAAGAGAATGATTTTATTTCTTGTGCATGCGTATGTAGAATGACGTAATACTCAGTGAGTCGGGACGCTACAGTACTCCCCCGCCAGTGGTGAGGTCGGGAGGAGCGAAGCACGATAAACAAGAAACAAGAAAGAGAAGAGAAAGGAAAGCGCAGCATGTACAAGGCGGAAAGGCAAAAATATAATAATATGATACACATGTACAGGCAAGAGCGCTGCGTGTATGAAATTTGTTTGAGACGTGGCAACAAAGGCCGAAACAAAATCAAAATTGCAGAAAGCGGAAATGAGAGAGATGCATGACAGAGGCAGGTTAACATGTCAGAGGTGTGTTAACGTGACAGAGGTGGAGAGCATGTCAGAGGCAGAAAGAAAGAAAAGAGGAAATGTACGCGTGACAGAGGAATGTTATCGTGTTGGAGGCGGAAAGAAAGGAAATGTACGCGTGACAGAGGAGTATTATCATGTCAGAGGCGGCTGCATGTTGCAGGCTTGGCGGAATACCAGCAGGAGCGCTGCACTGGGGCGAGGCGTGCCGACTGAGGCGGGGACAGATGGAGGCGAGCGCAGCTCCATGGGGTCCGGTGCCGGGCGTGTGCCTGCGTGCGTGCACAGTGAGTGAGCTGGTACGACGGGTACTGGTTGGTGGAGGTGGCCGATTTCCAGCTTGAGGCCAAGACGAATACGGACGACGACGACGACTGGACGATGCCGTGGCAGGATAGCGGGGTATCCAGGTGGGCCGGGGAGGGTGGCAGGGGCCACAGCAGCTCCGAGGCGGATCCAGTGACGAGTGGTGGTGAGGCTCAAGTTTTACGTCAACAGCCGGCGATTGACGGGTTCCCGAGAGTTGAGGCGAGCAGGAAACTGCGGCGGGCCGAGCGCAGGGATGGCATGCTCAAAACTCCGAAGAGCGCAGCGTCAGGGGTCACCAATTTAGGGTTTTACGTCGGGCCCTAGACGACGGCTACTTTGGCCAACCGGACAACGAAGAAGTTGTGACCAAAGAGAATGATTTTATTTCTTGCGCATGCGTATGTAGAATGACGTAATACTCAGTGAGTCGGGTCGCTACAAAACCAACGAAATTCAAATAAAATTACCAAAACACACCCGGATCCTCTGTAAATTCGATATTTTGCTCGGAATTTGCCAGCAATTTCTTTTCGTTGGAAAATTCGATATTTTGCTGGAAGAATTGCCGGCAAATTTGGGCTAGGCCTATTGAGCACGCGCGTCTGCAGTACAGTACGGCATCACAGACTGCGACCGAGATACGAGAAATCACGTCCCTGACAAGAAGTCAGGGAGGGGCGGATGGGAGAGACGGGGCGCTCTGGCGGGATTTTACCGTAGTTCGTACTGTACAAGCAGAACTATTCGTCTGGAATTTAATTTTGTCTTTTTCGTCCAACGAGCTGTTGGACTAAATTAAATGCTGGACTAATATTAATTTGTAAATAATCGACGCGGAGACAACAATTTTATAATAGCTATAAAGAGAACAAATTCTGCTGTCATCGCCACAGTACAACAAAGTCATGGAGGTTTACCAAAATCGATTTTCTTGTCACAATCATCAGTGGTAATCCGTGACTAAAGAATAACCATGCTAAATCAATGATTTACATACATTCAATAAATGTGTTACGAGAACAAAACAAAGTGCTAAAATAGAATGAGGGAAGCTTTGTAAGCAGAAGAAACATGTAGTTGCGATTGTTTTCGTAGGTGCACAGCATGATTGTTTGTCTCACTACACAGTTCTAGCGTTGCAATTAGTTCCTCACCCCTGTTGCACTTAGCTCTCACTTCACTTCTATTGTCTCACCTTCCCTCATTCTATTTTAGCACTTTGTTTTGTTCTCGTAAGGCCTCGGTCACACTACGGCAAAAATGCTGCGTCAGCGTCAGAATCATGAACTTTTCCATGGCAACTGACGCAACGCGGGAAGTTTGAGCGTCAGACGCTGCTGCGTCTGACGTGGGGAAATCGGCTGCGTTGCCGCTGATGGGAGTGACGCTTGGCGGAAAAACAGTGTCTTTCAAGTAAAATTAGTTTCAAGACACTTTGCTTGAGTTGAGCAGTTATTCGACATTCGTCTCTTCAAGGTTTGTTTTGTTCCCTCTTTTTGTTCGAGATGAGTCCGTGGACCTACGAGGCCGAGGCTGCTCTGCTCCGAACCTGGCGGAAGAGCGAGGCGTTTTTCTGAGAAGAAAATGATGTCGAGAAAGGACCAGTTGTTTGAGTGGGTCATCGGCCAACTGGAGCCTGTTGACTTGTGAGTGTTGTGTTGTCGTCAAGAGCCCCAAAAAGGACAACCAGTATGACGAAGTCAGGAGAAACACAGCTGCGATGCGGACTTTTCTTGCCTGATCCATGACACTACAACTGAAAATGGCTTCAAATTCGGAAAGAAACAACAACGATCGTGCACGCGTGGACCTTTCGTCTTCTTGTGATCAAAAATCAATGAAAAATTCGAAAACTTTGTCCGACAATTTTTTTGTATAATAAGCAAAAGGCCGGTTTCCGTGGGAATCCGTGTCGTCATTGAGTTTTCCTGGTGGTTTTGTGACGTAGACAAATGCGTCAGGCCGCGGCAGTCATGAGCTGCAAAAAAAACAAAACACTGTGTGACCCCGCGTCTCCGTCAAGTGCTGCGGCTTGACGCTGCGTCCAGCTTCAAACTGCCGTAGTGTGACCGAGGCCTAACACATTATGGTTATTCTTTAGGGTGCGTTCTTAAATCCTCTCGGAAAAGTTGGAGACTCTCCTAAAAGTTCGAGAGCTGTTCTTATATCCTCTCCGAATTTTAGGAGGCTCTCCAAAGCTCTCGAAGCTCTCCAAGCTTCAGAGGTGGTTGAAACTCGGAGATTCCCGCGGTTTGGGATCAGCGCATGCGAACTAGGCTAAAAGCCACGTGTTGATCATGAGTGTACGCATTTCTCTTTTCGCATACGCACAGCGCATGCTATTTTCGTGGCACTCAAGATCACGGCCCCTTTGGCGCTCCATTTTGCTTGACATCTGCAAAATATCTCCGAATTCTTCGAGACCCGTTCTTGAAGAATCCCAGTTTCTTCGACTTCTCTTTTCTTCTTCTCCTAGAAGCTGGAGAATTTAAGAACGCAACCTTAGTCACGGATTTCCACTGATGATTGTGACAAGAAAATCGATTTTGGTAAACCTCCATGACTTTGTTGTAGTGTGGCGATGACAGCAGAATTTGTTCTCTTTATAGCTATTATAATATTAATTTGTCCAGCTTTTCGATACACTCTTATGATCCATGGACGAAATTTACAACCGGACGAACTCCCTTTCTTTGGAGTTGGACGAAATTATTGACCGACGAAATTTTCTGCTTATACAGTAGTAGAATTTATTATTTTGATAGGGAAGGCCCTACAGACGTTGATGTACATGTATGTATTTTGTTGTCCGAATTTCCCTTATCTTCAGACTTTGAAGACCATAACCTGATTGCTAATCTTTTTCAAATAAATGGACTAAGGAGAAGTACCAACAAGTGCATTGGCCGGGGGGGGGGGCAAGGAGCCGGGAGTAGTACAATGCCAGTTTTGAAGTTGACAGCTTGTTGCAAGGCGGAGTACGAACTGCATTGCGCCTGACTTCAGCAATGAACCCGTTTGGCAGAGTCGCAGTCTTGTACACAATGCAGATAGTGCTCGTATACTGCGGCCATGTATTCCAAAGAGCCGCGTCAACTCGTAGAAATCAGAAATAAGTGCAAACAAACATACATAAAGGCCGCGCACCAGGGTGCGATGCATGTCAACCAACCCGAGACCCCCCCCCCCCCACCGCCCCCTGCATGCAAATACATGTATGCAATACGCACGATACGGTACACGATACGGCTAACGCCAAGGGAGGGATGCTGAACTCTGATGGGCTGAAACCAGGGATTATGCTACTGCTCCTTCCTTTCCGATTCACAATACAACTTCTTGCGACGCGACATGCTGTAAACCTCTACAACAACAACATGCGACTTGCGACACATGCGACATCCTATGCACAAGTAGCATTGCACGTGCACCCAGGGTTTCATTTTTATACGAGTAGCAGCAACAACAACAGTAGAAGCAGACGGCGTCTACTTCCTTGAATTGCCTTCCTTCCCATCTCTCACGCAATCGGATAGAATGGCTCCATTGCTAAGTTTTCTTCTAGTTCTAGCCTTCCTCATTGGCGCTACATCTGCAGGTAAGTAGAAGTGCAATGTACATGTACTTCGACAGCGATTGTTAGTCTTGGTCATATGCTGTCTGATGAAGTGTTTTGACACGAAACTCGGAGTTACAGCGGAATGAGACTTGTTTGATTCATCGCTGTGTAATATTTGTACTTCTACAGTACATGTATATTTAGAAAAGCGATCCTGTCAGCTTTTCTATTATTGTGTTGTATAATGTATGCACATGTATTATCCATTCCCTCAGCCCGCGAACAAAAAATATTTATTGGTATTTCTGCTCTGTGGTCATGCGATTAAAAATGGCCACTTCTGTCTGACATCTGCCGGTGTTCGGTGGTGAGGGGGGGGGGGTGGGATCATACCAAAAATCCGTTTTCTGCTTGGGCTGAGTTCGACTTGCGCAGGCGCATCTGGAAGGAACAGCTGGTCACACTACCCTAGACTGCTGAAGTCTGCTGAACATTTTCCATTTGGCCAAAATTTTATTTTAATAATAATGACCTTGTTTCGGGTAGGCCAACCAGGCCATTGGTCCCCAGATTCTGAAACTTTGTTTGGTCCCAAATGTATACGACCGGTAACAATGCCATGTGTGCAATTGCAGTCAACGAGTTTTAACTCAGCAAATCTCAACCGAATTCAACAATCGAAATACCTCAGAGATAGCAGAGATTCTCAGCAGTCGGCTCGAACAACTCAGGGGTCCAAACGAACGGCAAGCACTCGAACTTTTTGCTTGATTTCTGCTTGATTTCTCAGGATCAAGGACGACAGGAATACTGCTGTACAAGAACAATCAGTGAACTGTGACATTGATCCTTACCATGATGCATGTAAATGTACATGACAATGTGCTCTTGTCTATCAATAACACAACGATTGATGAACTAAAAAACTATCCAAAAAAAGTGTCATTCCGACAGACCAAGTCTCTCTTTTTCTTTTTTTTAGGGTTTGCCGACCCTAAACAAGCCTACTAGTATTTAGTTTTTTGGCCTTTCCAAAACCTCAAGTGTTATATTCTACTCGTCTCCTCGTCGACTCTTCACTCTAGGTACATTGTCCCACAAAATGTTTATCGATAGACTCGGATGGGGAGCCCAGGATGAATTAAAATATTCAAAATTTAAAAATAATAATAATTTGGAAAGGATTGGGAGAACTTCAAATTCAAAGGATCAGTCGGGGAAGTGAACTGCCTGAAAAGAGAAAAAAAAACCTAGTGGGTCTGGCGTTTTTTTCTCTTTTCACTTACCCGACTGATCCTTTGAATAATAATAATAAAAATATTATTGAAAACCCATAATCGATTTTCTTATTCCTATCATTAGTGGGAAAATACGGAACTAAGGATACAACCAAAGAAACTGAGTTAAGTACTGTAAATAGAAAGGTGTTAGAAATAACAACAAGATACAAGTGCAATAAAACCAATAGTTTGTATACGTATTCATAAGCCTGTTTTGTGTAAGCAGAAGGAGCACGTTGTTGCACTGAAGTTGTATTCGTAGGTTGACACTTCGTTTAGTGCCTTCTCGCCTTTGGTTACGTAATCTGTTACCTTTTTGCGTTTCCTCTAGTGGTTTTATTGCACTTGTATTTTGTTGTTATTTCTAACACCTTTCTATTTACAGTACTTAACTTCAGTTTCTTTGGTTGTATCCTTAGTTCCGTATTTTCCCACTAATAATAATAATAATAATAATAATAATCTTCACTAGTTTGAGGGAAAGAGACAAACGGGAAAAAAAATAATAATCGAATGTCTCAGTACTCTTGTCAGTTGTGTGCCTAGTTATTGCACTTTCTGACTGTATAATATCCAGTTACAGTGATGGAGTGCTGGTATACTGCGGCCATGTATTCCAAAGAGTATCCTTATGTCCTTTTCCTTTCTACAATAATAATAATAATAATAATTTGGAAAGGATTGGGAGAACTTCAAATTCAAAGGATCAGTCGGGGAAGTGAACTGCCTGAAAAGAGTAAAAAACGCCAGACCCACCAGGACTCGAAAAGGGACCCTGCTTGTCATGAGCAATGCTCTAACCACTGAGCTATGGGACCAGGCTGAACCTAGCATGCTCATGACAAGCAGGGTACCAGGTTCGAGTCCTGGTGGGTCTGGCGTTTTTTTCTCTTTTCAGGCAGTTCACTTCCCCGACTGATCCTTTGAATAATAATAATAAAAGGAAGAAAAGGGACCAAAGAGTGGGCATCCAAGACGTGCTAGAGCCGATTTGCAGGTAGTTGTAGAATGTCGGTACCGCTGGTCAGAGTCGTGCATTATTGGAAACGTTCTGGTTACTCAACATGAGACATCCTCGCAGTGATGGGTGGTTGGTGATGATGACGGTGTGTTTCATAGCCTTGATGAAAATATGGTCTCCAATTCGCTTATTAAATTCTTTGATAATTGATTGCAATGATGAGGATCAACCTGATAGTGGAGATTCTCGATTTCGCTCGTTTGTTTTGCAGATGGCACGTGTTTTGGAACCGGGTGTATTGGTACATATGCATCTATCACAGGTAAGTTCACGGAGTTGAGCGTGAAAATCTGTCTTTTTCCTGTCTACTTGGTTGCATGAAACAATCATCAGAAATGGACTCGTTCTTTTCTATAAACTCATCAGAAAGCGTAAGATTAACACGCAAATCTGAGTCAGAAAAAGGACTTGGTTGTGTCATTGCTGTATAACTACACACACACGGTTGCATTTATACTTCAACTTGCCCATCACTGGGCTCCCAGCGGCGTTATTCATAATTGGGTCCACATGTGTTATAGAATTCTTTAAGTTGGCCGTGCTATTTATTAATTTAGTTTTCGTTACTCATTTCCCTCACTCTGACGATTCTTGAAACAAGATGAAACCGTTCAGTCATCCTATAATCGAGTACATGTATTACATTTATACGTTTGTTATGGTGTTGGGGGGGGGGTCTACTTTCTAAACTGTAGCCCATATCCTGTGACCCCAAATCATGGATGGGAACTTGTAGGAGAGCTGTATACAGTGCATTTCAAAACTATAGACGCGTAGGGTTTTTGAAATATTTCAAATTTGGCTGGAACTTTTTGAGAATAGTTTTCGGATCGCTCCACAATTACTCTATTGTAGTATCTAAACGATTGGATAACAGACGCCCAATTTGGAAAGGTTTATGCACAAAGTGATCACAGATTTTATGTGGTATAGATGCTGGCATAACGGTTTTTGCCTAGGTACGCGTCTATAGTTTTGAAATGGACTGTAGTTATAGTTAAAGAAATACTTTTTGCAGATCCTCGTTCTTGTTTTTCTCCATTGTAATCCCGTGCAGGCACAGGTCCGCAGACCATGCTGACCCCCGTGGGTAAGTCACGTGATATCAACTAAAATCCCGCCAGAGCGCCCCTAGTGGCCCCTACCTCCTTGACGCTTCAGGTGGGGAGGGGCGGATGGGCGAGTCCTACTTGCCGCATTCAGTGCTACATGAAAAAGTACTCACCCTACGAAAACTGTTCGTGCATCTCGTACACCGACCAAAGGTCAAGAGCCAATTGTCGTAGAGACCCGTCAAAACTCAGGGTTTGTGCGATCCTCGGTCAAGAGGGTGGGCACTGTTGCGTACACTTCCAACGGGGTCGAGCACGCGTCTGCAGTACAGTACGGCATCACAGACTGTGACAGAGTCATACGAGGATACAATCAATCACGTCCCTGACAAGAAGTCAGGGAGGGGCGGATAGGAGAGACGGCGCACTCTGGCGGGATTTTACAGTACTAGTAACCTGTCAGGTTCATTCGTATAAAGCGTGGGTTGGGAACAAGAGTACATAATACGATCACCAGCAGACAGGCATAGTGGGATGTTGTTGTTGTAGAAGTTTATTTGAAGGGGAACTGTCACCAACAATTTTCTTTGTCTTATCTTACAGTTCTTTGGCTCCTGATCACGATGGTGTTATTCGTTTTTCTCTGCGATGATTGGAAGTGGGTGAAAACTGGAAAAGAAGGTCCCCAAAATTGTCCCGAAGTACCGAGTGACGTCACGCCGGACTTGACCTGCACGCGTACATTCATCGTCAAAAACGAAGTCCAGTCCGTGTGCTGGTCGATCGAGCCAACTGTTCGATGTACGGTGCACGCTTGCCTTCCAAACTCGGACACTGACGTGCACGTTGTACACAATGAGAACGCCAAAAGAAAAGGGACAAAACAAACAAAAGTCGACAGCAGTTTATCGCACTGGTACTTCCTCCACGAAGCTCCAGCTCTTTGTTTTATTTGTGATTACGAAGGAGTGGAAGGATTTTTGTTTGCTGTTAGTGTGACACACATACCTCGTACTTGAAAATTTTGTCGTGGTATCGAAGGTGGCGGTGTTGCCCACGTGGCTCTGAAATGAAAGACGTCGGAGTTTGTTTGTTTGTTGTTTGTTGTTTAGCTTTATTTTACTTCACCAGAAGCACAGGCAAAATCTGCCTTCTCACTGGGCGTATTTCCACAGTTCTCGCAAAATGATGAAGGTGGTGATATAAGAAAAGGAGGAAGAGGAAAATACAATCATGAACAAGGCACAAAGAGAAGACGGAAACAAATCAATGAGGGAGTACTACAAGTAACGAATTTGAATTTGATGAATTTTTCATGAAAATAATGCAACGGATGGAAAGGTTCCAGGGTTGAGGGAATGTTGACAGTTATGCGTCTTTGAGATCTTAGGAGAGGGTAAGAGAGTTTAAGATATCGTTTGTAATTGCTTTCTTAAATGCAGAAGGAATGGTGATGGAGCGGACATCAGGCGGCAGGCAGTTCCAGTACACACTACCAATGAACTGAACAGTGGATCGACCGGAAGGACCCGGCAAAAACGGGACACGAAGCAGACGTGAAGCCTGACCCCGCGTGGCACGACCATTGACTAAATCAAAGAAAGTGCTGAAAAGACTACTGATCATTTCAGTACCAAGACATCTGTGAACAAAAAATAATAATTTTTGCTTATATATCTGAGTAAGAGTAAGAAGATCAAGTCGACAGAGAAGAGGGGATGATGGGGTAGTAAAAGGCACCTGGAAAACGGCGCGAATTCCAGATTTGAAAATCTTGACCAAGCGATCCAACAACTGCACTGTGAGGCAAGGATAGAAAGCCGTAGACGCATAGCAGAGATGGCTGCTGATCATGCTAATGAACCACGACCGTCTGGCTGATAAACTTAGAGCACGACCATGGCGCCAGAGCTGACCAATGGTCTGGGCAGTTCGCTTAGTCACGTTGTCCACATGCTGCTTCCATGACAGTTCGCAATCAATGACCACCCCAAGGTACTTGGAAGTAGGGGTAACCTTGAGTGCGTCCTGACCACAGAATACATCAGGAATGGCAGCTCTCTGTCCACAGGGCTGGATGACCATGACTTGCATCTTCTTCGCATTGAGCAACAGCCCAATTTCAGCAAGCCAACGTGATACAGAAGTGGCAGCTGCACTAAGCTGTCGGCACACAGTGTTCAGATCGCTGTCGGAGAACTCTAGTATGATGTCATCTGCAAACTCTTGGTGGATGACTTGTTCAGGCAGGATGGCATCTAAGTGGCGCGTGTATAGAACAAACAGCAAGGGACCAAGTACACTGCCCTGTGGCACACCACGGGAACAATGCACTGACGAGGAGACTGAGTTTGCAATTCGGACTTGTTGACTTCTTTCAGTCAGATAGCTACAAAACCATTGTAGAGCACTAGATGAGATACCAAGGGAGTGCAACTCAGAGACGAGTCGTTCATGCTGCACCCGATCAAAGGCTTTACTCATATCTACCATGACGATGCCCGTGAAGCGGCGATGTGAGCGTGCAAGCACCCACCTGTTGACGGCAAGCACAAGTGCATCCTCCGTCGAGTGACACTTCCGATACGCAAACTGAGTCTTTGGATAAAGTTCATGCGCTGTGAGATATTCCACGAGCTGCTTTTTCACAAAGTGTTCGAGAATACGAGATATAATCGGCAATAAGGATACTGGGCGGTAGTTAACTGGCACTGTGGGGTCTCCTGACTTATACAAAGGACTAATAAACGATCGCTTGAACATCATTGGTACTGTTCCAGTGGACAGTGATCTGTTAATGATATCCGTGAGTGGCCCAGCAAGGCTATCGGCACATTCCCTCAACACTAAACCAGGAACGCAATCACTGCCCGTGGCCTTCGCGGGATTTATGCACTTCAGACAAGCTTTCACATCACTCACCGGCACCAGTTCAAATTGCAGAAAGCTAGACGCTGGCATCGGTCCACTTGGTGGTGTTAGCGTGGATGGTCGGTCTGGGTCATGCACAACATCCCCAAAGGTTTTGCTCAGGTCCTCAATGCCGGCTTGAGGTTCTTGACGCTGCTTAGCACGGCCTGTGACGATGTTCATAACTGACCACAACTTTCTCTGATCACGAGTTGCACACTGATTCATGAAGTAGGCATTACGTAGACGGCGATCCAGTTTCCTTGCAGTAGAGCGGGCCTGACGGTGGAGCTCACGCAGATCCGCATTGCCTTTGTCGCTCATCAACCGGCGATGGAACTGGTTTCGCTCACGTACCGCGGCAACTAGCTCCGGTGTTAGCCAGGGGCAAGGACGTTTCTCCTGTCGGCGCCGATGAATCAATGGTGCGTGCACATCCAGGGTAGATATGATAAAGGTGGTAAGACTCTGCACAGCATTTTCAAGATTTCCGGTAAAGGTACAAGTCGCTAGATGATGGTTCAAGTCCTCATTGAATGTGTTCCAATTTATCCGATGGAGTCGCCTACCTTGGCGTTTGGCGGCTGGGTGTCCAGAATATGCCTTTCCCATGCCAAAGCCAGGCATATGGGCCAGGATGGCAAAATGATCGCTCATATCAACATAGACAGTGCGACATACACCCTCTATGGGAACGTTAGACAAGAACAGGTCGATAACAGATGCCGAAGAGGACGTGACTCTTGTCGGCTGAGACACATGGTTAAACAAGTTGCAGTGTGTGAGTGTGGAGTGCAAGTGATTTGCACGGCTGGCAAGAGGATCGGCATAGTCCACATTAAAGTCTCCAATGAGAACTGTGCGCGACTGTCTTCCCTGCATTGCCTTTTCGATGTTGGCTTGGAATACATCCCAGTAAGCCACTGACTTATCTGGTGGACGGTATGCACATCCCACCAGGGTACTGTGCTTTTGCTCCATGACCTCAATCCACAAAATTTCCAAATCTATTTCCAGATCAGCACGTTGTTTGACACGAGTCGTTTCATGACAGTATATGCAAACGCCACCGCCGTGCTGTAGGGCACGATCTTTCCTGAATAGCTTGTAGTGAGGAATGGATACCTCTCCATCAGTTACATCAGCAGCTAGCCATGTTTCAGCAACGCCCATGACATGCACACCATGCTTGGAAACGAAATCTTTGAGTTCGTCGACTTTTCTGCGGAGGCTGCAGATGTTAAGGAAGGCTATGCTGGTCATCTTGGGCTGAATTCATACTGCTGTGGCTGTCCTCTGTTTCAGATCTGTACTTGTCGAAATTCCAACACCTACTGTACAGTGGAGCAGGCCAGAAACGGCGGCTGTTGACTAGCTTCGCACTGGAAGCGTTGATGGTGATCCTGGCCGATGATGAGGATTCTTTGGGGAAGATCTTCACCTCAAAAACACAGACAGGGTGATCGATGTCTGCAGCTCTGCGTTCAATAAACAGTTTCAACTGCTCGCTCTGCATCTCGGGGAGCAGGTTCCCAACGAAGAAAACTGACTTTTTCTGCGTGGGCTTAGTATTCGTGACCAGCCTCCAGGAAGCTTCGACATCGTCCTGCATATCCTCAAATTTTTTGAGGCGATCGACGATCTTCTGTGCAGCACTTGGTTTCAAATGTCCCTCTGCACGTGCTCCTGGGTCATCAAGGCCAAGGTCCGATCTCTGCGTACGGGGTTCATGAACCGAGTCAACGTCCTCGCACGTGGAGGTGGCTGCTGAAGCTTCCAGATCCGGTTGAGCACGGCTGTCTTGAGATGTTGGCGCATTCGTAGATCGTACGGACTTTGCAGACTCAGCTTGAACTTGTTCACCAGCTTTGAAACTGCTCCGTGCGCGGCGTGGCTTTCCCTTGCTCTTTGTCTCGTCATGGCCGACTGCCTTCGCTGCCGCCATTGAATACGCTGGTGATCCAGATTCCATAACTACCTCTTTCAGGGAGGAAACTAAACGGGTGAGGTCGTCGATTTTACTATTTAATCTTTTCTCTCGATCGGCAGCAAGACTACGTTCCATTTCCATTACTTCGAGGATTTTTAAAAAATGGCTTTCACATGTTGAGCAAGACTGACGGACAGAATCTTTCCTCACGGGGTCTGGAACACCAAACTGATCTTCCACTGTGATATCACCACATACACTTGTGTCCATCGTGCTAAGCCAGCCCCCGAGGGGCAAAAACTGCCAGATTTACTGAAAACAAGCGGAGCCCAAAAATGGCAAACCGCCCCTGCAGTCGCAAAAAAGTTTTTCGTTTGCCATCTGCATCTTCAGCAACATCGCCAGGTGAATCGCCTTCACGTAGCTACATTGCGTTCCTTTGGGGCTCGGGTTGGTGGTGTTATCGACGGCCGGAGGAGTACTGGTTTCTGCATACGCGCTCATCATCGTGTTGTTCCTCACACGAAAAGTTCAAAACAACGACGTACTTCCGTGCTCGCGAAATAAAACTAATGCTGCGTTTACACGACAACGCTGGGGGCGAAAACGCAACGAAATCCTTTCGGATCCATGGTTCATTTAGGGCGCGCTCACACTGCGATCATGAGCACGCGTCCATGCGTCAGCAAAACGCAGAAACGTGGCAGTCGTGCTCACACTAGGCCTCGTACACGCGTAGACGTGAACTTGTCACACAAACTTTACGAATTGCAGTTCGTATCCAAAAGAGTTCGTGCGTTTCCTAATAAAGTTGTGGCCCGTTTTGGATGTAATTTTTCGCATGTTGCATGTTGGAGGAAGTGCCTCGTGGCTCGTATTCTTGAAGTCGACGAAAATAATTCATACAATCAGGTAGGTTTGGACTCTTGAGGGACTGCCGCTGACATCCAAGCGCTTTCGCTTTCCTGACCTCGTGGTCAGAGCAAGTGCCAGTGCAGTGGAAATTCCGGTAGTGGTTTCTTTCGTCTGTTGCCGAGATGAGAACTGTATTTTCCGATGATATGTAACTGAAATGTCGGCATTCCATCATCGCAGAAAAGTAGAGAAAGATAATTTCCGAAACCGAAAAGCCAGACCAAGCTGCCATCGTATTGAACGAGTACACTGTAGAAATTGGTCACTGACCCGATCACAACGAAGCAACTACAAAAACAAAAACAAAATCGACATCGTCCAAAAAGGGCAAAGAATGCATATTTGGCGGTGCGTGCGTGCAGGTCAGCAGGACCACAACTACAAAATTTTAAAAATGTGCAAATGTCGAGGTGACATCGACAACCGCCGATTTTCATGAATCAACACACCGGAATTTGAGAAATTGAACATACTTCAGGCCAGGTTGTACACAAATACGCTTCACGTCTACGATCATGTTGCCGCCAAGTCGTGGCACCCCCCTCCGGAGGTCGCGGTCACGATTTGAAACGTGGCCGCGACGTTTTGGTCAAGTTCATGCCGTTGCCATGCAACTTGGCCGCATGGCCGCATGGACGCTGGTTTTGGTCACAGTGTGAGCGCGCCCTTACACGGTACGCGGAGCAAAACGTAAAAGTTGTACACCAAAACGGAAGAAAACCAAAACGCTGGCCAAGGTGGAAGAATTTGAAAACGGAAATGTTCTGCCGGATAAATTTGGGTGTGTAAACAGTCGAAACGGTGTGCTGGCCTCGTTTTCCGTCACGTTTGTTTCGTTTTCGGCCGTTTACACGGATCCGACAATCAAAACAATTGTTTTTACAATTTTCGTCATGTGACGTGTGTTGTAGTGTGCCTGTTTTCAACCATTACTTGAGTGTGATTGGTGCTTCCACGGCAACACTTGGCACATGACGAACTTTGGCGGATCCTTTGCTCTCGTGTAGACGCTTGAAAACGGTACAAACGGGGACCCCCTCGGATCGGCTTTGATCGTGTAAACGTACGAAAACGAAAAAAGAAATGCGGGACTGAAAACGGAAAACTGGCCGTGCGTTGTAAGATCATCGCGGAAGAAGTCAAAAAGGTGAAAGGTCAGCTGCTTTTTATATTGATTTGGCTGTGTAACTGCACGCGGGTCTCTGCCTCTTTGGCATTCTCCTTCTGTACGACGTACCCATAATTATGTGTTAGAGTTCAAAAGGCACACGTGCGCCGTACATAATGAACAGCTAGCTCGATCGACCAGCACACGGGCTGAACTTCGTTTTTGACGACGAATGTACGCGTGGAGGTCAAGTCCGGCGTGACGTCACTCGGTACTTCGGGACAATTTTGGGCACCTTCTTTTCAAGTTTTCACCCACTTCCAGCCATCGCGGAGAAAAACAGATAAAACCATTGTGATCAGGAGCCAAGGAACTAGTACTACAAGATAAGACAAAGAAATATTTTGGTGACAGTTCCCCTTTAACGTCTCACCACGGATGGTAGACCATGATTGACAAACAGGTTCAAGTCCAGCTTGGAAGCGGAAGGAATTTTTCCAGCCGTGCTGCGACCCACAGTTAAGTTAATTGGGAACTCGTGGCCTGGCCCGAGGGTAACATGGATGCAGCTAATGGGATTTCGGTCTTTCACCACTTGGTGGTTGGGTCTGATCTACTCACCTCCCACCGCTTAGGCGCTGCATCTGCGCCTTTGATTCTAGAGGGTGGTGACGTTCCCACGGCGGATGCGCAAAACTCGGCTACCAGCTGAGGCTCACGCGAACCGTAACATTTATTTATTTTATTTTTATACGATCACCATCACATGTATATGTACTCAATCTGCGGACAGAACTGTTTCGTCCTTCGTGGACTCATCAGCGCAGCACAGAGAAAATGAAGCCGAACCGGGTAGCAATGAAAAATAAATTTTCCAAAGCCGTACATGTACTTACGTTCCTCATTCTTCCTTCCATTTGGCAAATGCTGGTTTTTATACATTGTGTAATTACTCAGCGTTATTTGGATCATTTTCAAGTCCACCCCAGAGTTTGGGGATTTCAGGGGGTGTCGGTCGTTGGGCGGTTCAATAGCCAATTGAGTCATCTTTCCAAGATTACTTTTGAGTCTCTCTCCCCTCTTGAGTCTCTCTCTCCTTTTCCGGGAAGACCCATTTGACCAGTTTTGGCAGTGAGCAAGTACATATATGTATGTACATGTATGTATGTACATGTATGTATGTACATGTATGTATGCTGTCAAACTTGAAAGCATGTATGTACACAATAGTCAATAGTAGCTGATCAACCATCCGCTTTCATTTCGCTCTGCAAAGAGCACTTAGGGTTCCCTGTAAAAAGACGGCAACGTCTGTAGGGATTTCCCTAACAAAATAATAAATACTACTTCTACTACTACTACTACTACATTAGCGAGAATTCACCGATTGCCGAGAGCGCCCAGCACGACAAGGATGGAGCAATGCCACAAAGGTAGAAGAGACCAACCACCCAACATTGCAAACGATCATCAGACTACCATTGCCTGATGATGTTAGCAACGGCAAACTCGTAATTGTATTCTCAATTGTAAATACATGCACCGTGCACATGTGATTTCTGGAAAGACACAACAGATTCTAGCACTATGGCTGGTACTGAATATAGGAGTGATGATCAGCGCTGTATGGAGAACATTTTGTCCGCATATGTGTCTACAACTGGAGTCAAGTTGCTGGTGTGATGAGAGCGACCAGACAGCGTATCTGGTGAAGGTGGAATGCTTTCTTGCAAAACAGGCCGAAAGCTGCAAGTGACCTGTCTGCTGTCCGTCTCCTTTGTTTATATGCTCGATGAGTGAAGAGGGCAGAGAGTAATAAAGAGAGCTACAGAAAGACAGACCGAGATCGAGCTCTACACCACTTCCAGTAGATGTGACTTAATCAACTCTACACTACTTCCCATGGAATAATAATATCTGTATTAGGATGTACGTAACTGTAGTCAGCTTTACACCAATACTTTTGTAATTATAGTTATTATGTAACTGTATCCAGTTCTAGCCGTTGCAATCTTTCTGAAATCTTCACCACAGCACTTATAACAAATTATTTGAAACGCTATGGTTATAACGTATTCGACGACCTCACATGGTTAGGAATATGTTTCTGGCACATTACACGTCCTCGTGGTGGGTGGTTGGTGATGACGGAATGTTTTATAGCCTTGATGAAAACACTGTCTCCGAGCCGCTTATTATTATTCTTTGATAAATTGACTATAAATGATGAGGATCAACCTGATAGTGTAGATTCTCGATTTTGCTTGTTCCTTTTGCAGGTGGCGCTCTTCTTGGAACAACTAAAACTATCACGGGTACGTTCACTGAGTTTAGCGTGCAGATCTGTCTGTCTATGTAGCTGCACGAGGTAGATTCTCCACAGGCTCGCAGAGTGTCCATCTATTCATTGCACCCAGAGTACATAGGTGGCTTCTATACTCTTGATTGTACTCTACTTGACTGTCTACTGGCCTCTGCTTGATTACTACACCATGTTCCTAGTGAAAAACAGTATCCAGCTAGGGTCCGGCGGATTCTGCCGGCAGAAAAATTGGCAGAATTCGGTACTTTTTCTGGTAAGTTTCATGCATGTTTGGTAAGTGGATAATGAAATGGAGCAGAATTCGAGGAATTGCCCGCCATAAGGTTTGTATGGTTCTGCCAATTTCACTGCTTTTCGAGCAGAATCTGCCACCTTTTCGAGCAGAATCCGCCGGTCCCTATATCCAGCTACTCAATCTGTGATGCTCTGCTCTCCTTTGTGAACTCCTCAGAGAACGATTTTAGTTTTCCACTTCCTAAATGCCAGGATTTAGCAAACACACACACGCACGCACACACACACACACACACACGCGCGCGTGCACACACTCACGCACACACTCACGCACACACACACGCACACGCACACACACGCACACGCACACACACGCACACACGCACACACACTCATACACACACGCACACACACTCATACACACACACTCACACACACTCACACACACTCATACACACGCACACACACAAACACACACACACACGCACACACACTCATACACTGTCCTGTCCTGTAGAGCCACTACCACTAGTACTGCGGCACTAGGGCCACATGGGCCCCGGAGGGGCAGCAGAGAGAGAGAAAGAGTACGCCAACCGATGGCGCTCCAGATGCGAGACTAGTCGGAACCGGCGAGAGGAGATACACATATGCGAGAACTTGTCCCGTTCTCTGGCCGTTGGTCGGTGGCAGTGCGTTGAACAGCGATGGCGGTTGCGTCCCTGGGTTGAGCGGAAACAACGAGTGCAGGTGCCACAGTGAGCATTGCAGCACCTCCGAGCGGCACAGTGTATCCGGTGACAACAGCAGCTGCTTTGGTCGGTACTGGGCACGAGGTAGAAGCGGAGCAACGATGCACAGCCAAGCCTCCGCGGCTCCGGAACCAACGATGACACCGAGGGCACTGACATGCTCTCTCTCCCTCCCTCCCTCTCTTTCTCTCTCTGCTATTGGCGCGCCTGGTTGTGATGAAGCCGAGACCCAAGGTCGGCAGAGCATCCCAGACCACGCCACCACTCCCCTTATTCATGGCTCACACATGACGGGTTTACGTGGCTCTAGTAAAAAAAAAATGCACCTCTCTGCTCCGAAACCGGCTTCTCCCGTTCACACTCAGACACACACGCATTCTCACACTTCCTCTTATGTCCTATCCATTGTCTACTCCATTTGCGATTTAAGTACAGTTAGCCGAGGGTCTGTGACCCCAGATCTCGGATGGTTACTAGACTTGCTCGCCTATCCGGTCCTCTTTTATCCGGACGAAAATCACTGGTCACCGATTTACAGCATATGGCATGCATACATACAGTATGTATGCTCGACTATCCGGTTCCCTCGCCTATCCGGATATTTTTTGTGGGAAACGGATGTGTGCGGATAAGCGAGGTGTGACTGTAGTAGGCGAGCTAGTGAAAGAAATACTTTCCTACAGATCCTCGTTCTTGTTTCTCTTCATTGTAATCCCGTGCAGGCATTGATCAGAATTCCCACATCGGTAAGTGGTACTGTACTCAATTGTCATGTTCACCCGTATGAAGCGTGGGGTGGGAGTCAGACAATAAGACCTCTTATTGGCGATGGTGCCATCGTGAGAATAAAGAATTCAAAATCACATGTTGTTGTTGTTGTTGTGCTTATATTATTTACTTTTTTCATCTACATGTACATGTGTGTATGTACATGTGTGTATGTACATGTGTGTATGTACATGTGTGTATGTACATGTGTGTATGTACATGTGTGTATGTACATGTGTGTATGTACATGTGTGTTTTTTTTACGGGGTAACGGCCTCTTTTGCGGGCAAAATAAAGTCATGTAGACGTGAAAAAAATTGAGATACCATGAAAGTTTAAATAAAATTTTATTCAAGTACAATACATTGGGAAACTCCAAGAAATTCCACGTAAAACAGACGGAATTCAGTTTTCAATGGCCGATGCCTACCCCAGCACCATCCTGCGTCGACAGGCCTGTCAGGCGCCTTCTAGACCCGCGTAGCCGGAGGTCAACTGCATGGATCACTGCAAATTGGCTGCGAACTCGCACCCAAGCCATGATGATTGAAAATGGCTTGTCCCACTTGAGGGCGAGGCGACCAGCAAGTCGCTTCTGATAGCTGGCGTATTCGCGATGTAGCACCCCATCCGTGGAACAAACCAGTGGTGTGAACGACCCACGGAGGTCCTCGGAGGCCTGACGATACTTCTTTTTCTTCGCGTTAGCAGCGCGGTTGGAAGTAGCTTCCCAGGATGAATGGGAGTAACTGGGTGCGTTGGCATCAATGATGCGATTATCAAAAAACGCAACCCTGTTATCCTCCCACACACCCCGGGCAAGCCAATCTGCCCGAAGAGCAGGCTGCCCCGTCCGATCACCCTCCGGCACCATGATCGGCTCGACGACAACACCACCGAATGCCATATCAGCTAGCTTTGCATCGCTATCACGCAGATCATTGTGGCCTCGCTTGATAAGTCCACCTTTCGGGCAGTCAAGGCCATGCTGGAGACAGAAAGGCTTCCCGCAACCATCACATTGCGCTGGCAGGGCAAGCGGCTGCCGACCATAGCGGATGGCAAGTTGATCGCGGAATTCTGTACTCGACAGATCATACCCCTCGCGCTTCAGGGGCAACACCGTAAGCCATCCGGAGGCATTTCCCCGTACGATGCGGGAGAGGGTGCGCTCCTCGAGCTGTGGCAGGTCACTGAGAATTGATTGGCTGATTTCAGCGGAAATCACATCTCGTTCCCTGATGATTTGGCTTGTGATGCGGCGACAGTGAGCGCTGTGATCATTTACGTTTACGGGGTTACCAGATTGGATTGAGTTGCGCAGGATGTCAGTAGCGTTTCTCGAATTCTGGTAAGCCTGGGGTGCTGTGTGGACAGGATCGGCCAAAGCCAAGCCACCATACTTGACTGGCAGGGTGAGGAGCTGGTGTTCCCGAGGAAGAACCTCCCGCCCAAGGATGGCTGGGGCAAATTGCTCCAGGATGACGTCTCGAAGCGGAGCAAACTCCTCCTCAAGACCCTGGACAACACGCTGCAGGTATGACCACTCACATGAGAGCGAGCGATTCAACGCACAATACGCCGACTGGGGGTATTTCCTGGCAGCAGCGGCAAGGCAATTGACACTGCTCACCCACGTCTCCACTCTCTCCTTGACAAACGATCTCACTCCGTCAGGTTCACCGATACAGCCTCCTCGGAAACGGGCGGATGTGGCTACTTGGATGTTCAGATCCCCAAAGATATCATTAGCTTGCTGAACGAGATCCGGGGAAACAATAATGATACTCTTTGTCGGCTCAACTTGGTAGCCGAAAGCTTCACCCTGATCGATAAGGCGGTCGAGCCACTTCCTGATGTTGCGCAACCGTCCCGCACAAGAAGAATCATCAGCGTACCAGTTTTGGGTGTGCTGGCTGGGTTCCTTCAAACTCTCAATCAGAGGGTGCAGACCAATGGCATACATTAGCATAGCCAGGGGACATCCCTGAGTAGTACCTTCCCGGCTGAGAAGGGTATGGACCTCGGATGTACAGGAACCTTTCAAGATGATCACAGCGTACCCACGGTAGGCGTTGAATAGAAACCTTGCGCATCTCGGCCAGAGCACTCGGCAGTTCCATAGGGCCGCGGGACGGCTTAGCGAGTTAAATGCATTAGCTGCATCGACAAGAAGGAGTCCTTCAGTGTCATCCTCGGTGAAAACGTCGCTCATAGCATGAACAGCTGCCTCAATCCCAGCTTTTGCACCCGAGCATAGCTGGTCAGCCCCACAGACCTCCTAGACATCAATTCCCGTAGCAAGGGCCATGGCCTTTGCCTCAATGCGCTGCCTGCATTCGCCCACTCCGATTGGCCGCACTCCTGGTAGCTTGTCCAGTGCAATGCCTCTCCGAGCAAGGAATGCTCGCATGTTGCACCAGGGCACGATTCCATTTGCATGTCGACGGGTTGAGGCGGCCACAGCTTCCCGCAGGCGACTGCTGGCATTGCCATGGGATAGCAAGAACGTTCTCCACTGCTCAGAGTTGGTCCCACTGGGACCGGCACTGCCGAAGAGTCGTCGGGCCACCTGTTCAATCATTGCACCAGTGATATGAACATCCTCCAGCAGGGGCAGATCCTCGCACTCAAGGAATGCTCTTGGATCGGCGGGTTGTTGCTCCGGGTGTTTCTCTTGCAGCACATCGTTATTATTATTATTATTTATTCTTCTTTTACTAGGGAGTTCCCAACAGGCGTCAGCGCCTTTTTACAGGGAACCCTAGGTATAATTTGATGGATGAGCGAAATTCAGCTGGTGAACTAGACATGCGGCAAGCCGGTGGAAGTGTATTCCAACTGGCAGCGCCCAAATAAGAAATTGCACTAAAGCCATATCGGGTGTTAGCGGGGGGCAGAACAAGAGCAGCAGAGACTTGGCCACGGGTGGTGGCTGCAGTGCGAGCACCATGGGCGCGCCATCGTACACGGTCCTACCAAGTGGGCCAGCCTTGCCTTGAGCCAAGTGGGCCAGCCTTGCCATGTACATGTGTGCGTGTATGCACATGTGTGTATGTACATGTGTGTATGTACATGTGTGTATGTACATGTGTGTATGTACATGTGTGTATGTACATGTGTGTATGTACATGTGTGTATGTACATGTGTGTTTTTTTACGGGGTAACGGCCTCTTTTGCGGGCAAAATAAAGTCATGTAGACGTGAAAAAAATTGAGATACCATGAAAATTAAAATAGAATTTTATTCAAGCACAATACATTGGGAAACTCCAAGAAATTCCACGTAAAACAGACGGAATTCAGTTTTCAATGGCCGATGCCTACCCCAGCACCATCCTGCGTCGACAGGCCTGTCAGGCGCCTTCTAGACCCGCGTAGCCGGAGGTCGACTGCATGGATCACTGCAAATTGGCTGCGAACTCGCACCCAAGCCATGATGATAGAAAATGGCTTGTCCCACTTGAGGGCGAGGCGACCAGCAAGTCGCTTCTGATAGCTGGCGTATTCGCGATGTAGCACCCCATCCGTGGAACAAACCAGTGGTGTGAACGACCCACGGAGGTCCTCGGAGGCCTGACGATACTTCTTTTTCTTCGCGTTAGCAGCGCGGTTGGAAGTAGCTTCCCAGGATGAATGGGAGTAACTGGGTGCGTTGGCATCAATGATGCGATTATCAAAAACGCCACCCTGTTATCTTCCCACACACCCCGGACAAGCCAATCTGCCCGAAGAGCAGGCTGCCCCGTCCGATCACCCTCCGGCACCATGATCGGCTCGACGACAACACCACCGAATGCCATATCAGCTAGCTTTGCATCGCTATCACGCAGATCATTGTGGCCTCGCTTGACAAGTCCACCTTTCGGGCAGTCAAGGCCATGCTGGAGAGAGAAAGGCTTCCCGCAACCATCACATTGCGCTGGCAGGGCAAGCGGCTGCCGATCATAGCGGATGGCAAGTTGATCGCGGAATTCTGTACTCGACAGATCATACCCCTCGCGCTTCAGGGGCAACACCGTAAGCCATCCGGAGGCATTTCCCCGAACGATGCGGGAGAGGGTGCGCTCCTCAAGCTGTGGCAGGTCACTGAGAATTGATTGGCTGATTTCAGCGGAAATCACATCTCGTTCCCTGATGATTTGGCTTGTGATGCGGCGACAGTGAGCGCTGTGATCATTTACGTTTACGGGGTTACCAGATTGGATTGAGTTGCGCAGGATGTCAGTACCGTTTCTCGAATTCTGGTAAGCCTGGGGTGCTGTGTGGACAGGATCGGCCAAAGCCAAGCCACCATACTTGACTGGCAGGGTGAGGAGCTGGTGTTCCCGAGGAAGAACCTCCCGCCCAAGGATGGCTGGGGCAAATTGCTCCAGGATGACGTCTCGAAGCGGAGCAAACTCCTCCTCAAGACCAATGTACATGTGTGTATGTACATGTGTGTATGTACATGTGTGTATGTACATGTATGTATGTACATGTGTAACTTTTTTTTTTCCAAAAAAAAAATGTACATGTGTGTATGTACATGTGTGTATGTACATGTGTGTATGTACATGTGTGTATGTACATGTGTGTATGTACATGTGTGTATGTACATGTGTGTATGTACATGTGTGTATGTACATGTGTGTATGTACATGTGTGTATGTACATGTGTGTATGTACATGTGTGTATGTACATGTGTGTATGTACATGTGTGTATGTACATGTGTGTATGTACATGTGTGTATGCACATGTGTGTATGCACATGTATGTATGTACATGTGTGTATGTACTGAATGATCTTAATCTACGAACAAAGCTGGTCCACCCTCTGTGGGCTCGTCAGCAGAGCACGGAGAAAATGAGGCCGTACCAAGAGTGCATAAACAAGAGTATGCAACTGTGGTTACGGGTCAGTGCGCGGCGCGCCGCCTTCATTACGTAACTTGCCTTCATCACGCTCTGAAAGCATGTATAGAAACTCACAATTTCTCGTACGAGCCCATCTGTTTTGCGCGACTCGTTCCAGTACCTACACGATCTCTAAATTCTGGCGCGTGAAACTCCAGTTCCGTACGAAAGTTCGGTGTTTGATTTTCCGCAGTGCGCGGACTGCAGCTGAATGATGTAATGAAGGCAGCGCGCCGCGCATCTGGCCCATAGAAAAGAGATCACAGTTGCATACTCTTGTTTATGGACTCTTGGTGGTGCCAATGAAAATAGTTTTTCAAAGCGCGATTTAAACCAGACCCGAACATACCTCGCCAGAGTACTCAAACGGACAAGTCATTGGGCTCTGCGCGACTCAAAAACAGTGATTATTACAGATAATGTATGTATCCAATCTGCGGACAGAACTGTTTCGTCCTTTGTGGACTCGTCAGCGCAGCACAGAGGAAATGAGGCCGAACCTGATAGCAATGGAAATAGAAATTTCCAATCAGGCCCGAACGTACCTTGCCAGAGTGCTCAAACTCATAATGTATGTGTCTATGTATATACACCGTACTCAATCTGCGGACAGCATGCTGTTTCGTTCTTTGTGAACTCATCAGCGCAGCACAGAGGAAATGAGGCCGAACCTGATAGCAATGAAAATTAAAATTTCCAATCAGACCCGAACGTACCTTGCCAGAGTGCTCAAACTGACAAGTCAGTGAGCTCTGCGTAAACAGGTGGGTATGTGGCAGCAGATGTGGGATGCCCACATCAGCAATGCTGAACTATTGCGTATATGGGGCGATCAGGATACCATCACCTGTAAGCTTCGGCATCGTCGGCTAGAGTGGCTAGGTCACCTGGCGCGCATGGATGACACCCCCATGCCGAAGTGCCTGCTGTTTGGCCAGCTCCCATCTGTCAGACCTGCCCATGGACCAAGGAAACGGTGGAAGGACTGCGTGTCGGTCGATCTTCGCCATAACCAAATTGTGAACTGGTACCAGACCGCTAACACATCTCGCATGGAATGGCGATGTAGATACCAAGACCAGGATAAGGAACTGGCCGCAGCAGCCCCCGTTGAGTGCCCCATCTGTGGAAAGGGCTGCTCTAGACCAAGCAAACTTAAGGTGGCAGCCTGGTCGTAAAATCACTGAAAACTCGAATTTGTAAATTCATATCGAGTGCTACATCAGTTGAAAGAGCATGAACAGCTGCAAAATCTCTGAAAATTTGGTCTCGATCGGACCAGCCGTTCAAGAGTTATGGCCGAAAATGTGCCCTTGCAAGGAAAGATATTTTTGTTGCACGCTGTCATTTGTTGGCAGCACTGTATTTGAATGTGAGCAGACCGTGCGCAACTTGTCGTATCATGGAAACACGCGAAAGTGTACAGAATTTTGCTCCAAGTCCAAAAATCACGTTTTTAGCCATGTACTGGGCTGCACGGCGGCGGGATTCGCCCGCCGCCGTGCAGCAGGACTTTTGCCAGCACCCTCGTGACGTTGCAGATATGTGGCTTGATTATTGTAGTTGGCGTTGATTTAGTGACTTTGGCAAGTTTGAGTCGTGTCAAGAAGTCAGGAAGGATTCAGTACTAGGCAGTGGTGGAACGTGAGTGGTAGTCTTTGCCGATTTTGGAGGGTATCCTGGATTTGGTTTGAAGCGCTGTTGAAATGGCTTGCTGTGGAGGTCCCAGCACTGGATGTTGTATCAAAGGTACGACCTCGTAGCACGCCCTGAACCTAAAAAATTCAAAAATTGACTTGGGTCTGTGGGAGTCTGTTGCAGAACGCCCACTCCTGCCGTTGTGTCAGATTCCAGGGCCACGTTGAAGGGCCCTATACCACCACCCATGGCTGCTTCTGGACGTTGTTTAAGGTTTGGATCCTGCGCATGGACAGAATTGGCTAGAAAATGTGAAAAAATTGTAAATGTATTTGTTTGGCTCCTGTGTGGCTCACCAACCGTGGCACTCTGCCGGAATGTTTGAGTTTTTCCGGCCTGTGAAGCCTGTCAGTGAGGCGCAAGAACTTTTAAATCATGTCCAGAAGGCCAGCATTGTGGCAGGAGTGTGTGGTGCAAATTTAACTCAAATCAATTGAGAGACACCAAAGTTACGGTCAATTGAATGCCATGAAATTTAGGACCAGGCTGCTACCACAGCGGAGCGTCGCAAGCCAGTCCAACAGCAGCGTGGTGCATGTCAATGCGCAGATTGTGGCAAATGGTACTGTAGCAGGGGTGGACTCGCTGTGCACAGGTGTCAGCCTACCTCAATCGCCAGCCATCCCGCTCCTTGTAGACCTCGCCAGAACCGCCCGACAACGGATGAACGTGCCAAGTTTCCACTAATGTGTCAGCACTGCTCTTGGAGATTTCGGCAGTCCAGGGACCTGACCCGGCACCGGCGTGTTTGCTCCTCTCCCTCCTCCCGCAAAGGGACCACGTAACCTTTACGGCAGTGGGTCAACAGGACAGGACAGGACAGGGTATGTGTGGGTGTGGGTGTGTGGGTGGATATGTGTGGGTGTGTGGTGGTGGGGTGTGTGTGGGTGGGTATGTGTGGGGGTGGGTGTGTGGGTGTGCGGGGGTAGGGTGTGGGTGGGTATGTGTGGGTGTGGATGTGTGGGGTGGGTATGTGGGTGGATGTGTGGGTGGATGTGTGGGTGGATGTGTGGGTGGGTGTGTGGGGGCGGGGTGTGGGTGGGTGGGGGCGGGGTGTGGGTGGGTGGGGGCGGGGTGTGGGTGGGTGGGTATGGGGGTGGAGTATGTGGGTGGGTATGGGGTGGGTAGGTGGGTGTGGGTGTGGGTGTATTTTTTGTTTTGTTTTGTTTTTACTATGTTGAGTATGTTCACATTTCCAGCTCGATAAAATTAAAAGAAAGACAATGCGTCAATGGTACTGAGACTAGGAAGAACGTGACAACTACATGTACTGAGTAGGGGCTGCACGGAGACGTAGCAGTGATGGTGCAGCATTGATGGCTCTGCCGACGTGAGGTCTCCGGATCACTGCCAAAAACACGCACCAAAGGGTTAACACCAGCGAGTGTGCGGGAGGAACTGTGATACTCTGAACAAGTACAGAGGTTGTGATCAAGAGGGGCATCATCATGGCCGATCATGGCGAGTCGATTGTCCGAGACATTTTTGTTGCGTAGATAGGGATAGACCAGAGCAGAATCATAGCGAGTCGACTGCCCAGAGCCAGTTTGTGCTTCGTAGATGGCAATAAACGTTCGTTTTAAATGTTTGCATTCCCTTGCTGTCGGGAGGCTGGGAAAGAATAACGGCATGGAGGACGTGTGTGTGTATGTGTGTGTGTATGTATGTGTGTTTGTGTGTGTGTGTGCATGCGTATATGTGTGTATGTGTGTGTGTGCGTGTGTGTGTGTGTGTGTGAGAGAGATAGAGAGATAGAGAGGGTGTGTGTGTGTGTTTGAGTGAGAGAAAGAGTATGTGTGTGTGTGTATGTGCGTGTGTGTGTTTTGTGTGTGTGTGTGTGTGTGTCTTGGCAAAGTTGACTGTGAGACCAAATGCTGATGCCACAGAATGGAAAAACTCAAGTTCCGACTCAGCCACTTCACGGGAGGGCACCATAAGAGCAGCATCATCAGCAAATTCCACATCCAAAGCTGCAGAACGCTGGTGACACGTGCCACACCAATCAACAGCGAGCTGCGTGTGCGCTGGGGTAATAGTGATCTGCTTTCTGACATCCTGTGTCGCAGGCGAATGCAGTGGCTTGGCCATGTTGCCCGCATACCGAATGACCGCCTTCGGAAGCAGCTTCTGTTTGGTTGGCTGCCGCAGACCAGGCCAGCACATGGACCACGTCTCAGGTGGAAGGACCGCGTTCGGTCGATTCTTACTCTACTCCATGTACCAGAGTGGTACGAATCCGCACAAGAGCGACAAGAGTGGCGCAGCATCTATCTGCCCAGTGTGGACCGTCCTGCACCAGAGCTGGCTGCTCACTGTAACACCTGCATCAAAACATTCACCAAACAGTCGGGTCTTACGCGGCACAAGTGCCTTGGTGAGCGTCGGCTTCCTGTAGAGCTCCAGCGTGGTTCATGGCATTGCAGCACCTGCCGGCGGTGATTTAAAAGTGCGGGGTGCCTGGCTGTTCACCGTTGTCAGCCATCACCATCTACAACAGTGGAGCCAACCGCTACTGCTCACGCCTCATCGCCTGCAGCCCAAGCATCTCTGCCCTCGGCGTCCCCACCCCGGTACGCTGTCTCGACTGAGCGCTGCTGTGATCATCACTGCAGTGTCTGTGGCCGCTGCTGCAAATCGGCTTCAGCCTTCAGCCGCCACAACTGTTGGAGAGGCGAGTGCAGGCCTGTTGATCGTGGTCACTTTCCACATGAGTGCAAGTGTGGGAGACGTTTCCATTGGCTCCGCGACATCCGGCGACATGTCTTGAGGGCGTCATGACTGCACGCTCTCCTCTCCTCCCCCGCATCGGGGCGGCATAGCCAGTTACTGACAGCTGTACACAAGTCGAGGTCAAGGTGTGTGTGCGTGTGTGCGTGTTTGTGTTTTTGTGTGTGTGTGTGTGTGTGTGTGTGTTTGTGTGTTTATTGACCTGACCAATGCTCTTTACTTGTTGGTCTTTCTGGTTTGTTGATAGTATGCAACGAATACAGGTTCGCGAATGGAAAGTTTGAGGAAAACCCCTATGGAAAGACCGTCCCAGCAACGTGTGACGTTGGATACGAACTGAATCCTTTCGCACTTGCGAAGTGCACCAGCAAGAATGGTGTCTTTGGTTGGTCTAACTTGTACTTAGCACCTCTGGACAAGATGTGTATCAGTAAGTATGATCTGCTGATTACGACTATGGCATGGCACTTTGTTGGATTTTAATTTTACTTCACCAAGCCAACAGGAAATGATACCTTCTCACCAGCCAACGGTTGGCTCTAACAGAATGATCTTGAACTTCTAGATAATTATTTAAAAAAAGATTATGACGATAACTTAAGTAAAACCCACAAATAGAGAAGAGCAAATGAAAAATACATGACTAAAAATAGGTGGGTTCAATACTGTAATTTTGATGACTGACATTTTTAGTGACCAGGGGGTTTCGTGTAGGAAGAGAACAGGAATTATTATTCAAAGTACATTCGATTGGTTTGGATCAAAATTACAGTACTGAACCCACCCATTTTGAGTCATGTATGTGTGATGAAATGACATGAGATGCATAGGTCAATTATTTCTTCTTTCTTGGATCTTCTAATCAGAACACAAGTGCTCGTTCTTCTTGTATTGCTTCCACACCTGCTAAGCTTTGTCTCCACTTGGTGTCCCATGTTTTCTGGAGTAGGTCTTCATAATCAGTATTATCTTAGTTTCATTGATACCAGGCATTCTGTGACATGTGCACAATGTATGCTTATTCCCGTAGCTATGCAGAAGATGTTACTTCAGTAACGTCTGGCGCTAGCCAGGGTCCACACAGCTTTAATTTGGTATTTGTTTGTTTGTGTGTTTGTTTGTTTGTTTGTGTCACGCCTGGCGCTATCCCGTATCTGACGGCAAAAAATCATAGGGATGTTATAAATTTTTCAATTCTCCTATTTTTCAGGCTTATCCTGGGATTCGAACCCGCACTATCGCCCTACATGCATTCCCCCATACACTTCGCATTCATACCCATTTTTGGTGTTCGTTTGTTTGTGTGTTTGTGTCACGCCTGGCGCTATCCCGTATCTGTCCCGTACCGTACCGTACCATTAAACACAGCTGGCCACATACAGCTGGCCGCAATATTCAAATAGGGCTTTCAAACGCGAGATCATAACGTGAAGCAACTTGGAAGAATGAGTATGAATGCGAAGTGTATGGCGGAATGCATGTAGGCAAGAGTGCATAAACAAGAGTATGCAACTGTGGTGATGGGTCAGTGCGCGGCGCGGTGCCTTCATTACGTAACTTGCCTTCATCACGCTCTGAAAGCATGCATTCAAACTCACAATTTCTCGTACGAGCCCATCCGTTTTTGCTCGATTCGTTCCAGTACCTACGCGATCTCTAAATTCTGGCGCGTGAACTCCAGTTCCGTACGAAAGTTCATTTCAAACCAGAGGGAAAGTGCGGTGTTTGATTTTCCGCATTGCGCGGACTGCCGCTGAATGATGTAATGAAGGCAGCGCGCCGCGCATCTGGCCCATAGAAAAGAGATCACAGTTGCATACTCTTGTTCATGGACTCTTGATGTAGGGCGATAGTGCGGGTTCGAATCCATGTAATGGCACTACTACTAATGCCTGAAAAAAATAGGCGAATTGAAAAATTTATAACATCCATTTTCTTTTTTTGCCTTCATCAAGGCGGTAGACGGTGGCTTATTACCCTCGACCGTACCTGTCCCGTACCTGTCCCGTACATGACCCGTACCTGTCCCGTACCATACCGTACAATCAAAGACGGCTGGCCACAATGCATATTCAAATACAAGATCATAACGTGAAGCAACTTGGAAGAATTAGTATGTATGCGATGGGTATCGGGGGATGCATGCAGGGCGATAGTGCGGGTTCGAATCCCAGGCTAGCTCCCCGCGCTTCTCTTACTTTTCAGTTCCCCTTTCATTCTTTTTCTTTCGGCCCTCTAGCTCTATTAGCGCCATGGCTGGCTAGCGCCCACATCTCCATTAATTTCATTGGCTAGTGCCACGTGATTGTGAATAAATAATAATAATAATAATAATATTGACTGATTTGAGGGAAAGAGACAAACGGGAAAAGTCTGAAGAAAAAATTGACTGTCACCACCAGGACTCGAACCAGGGACCCTCGCTTGTAGCCAGCGATGCTCTAACCACTGAGCTATGGTGTAGTCGTCATCCCAGCAGAGGCCGTTCAACATTTTCTTCAGACTTCGTAACTCACACTTCCTGTGAATCCACACAGGCGGGTGGGACGCAGCCCTCACTGTAACCCACACACTTCACGTACAAACTAGCACGCGGGGAGCCCCAAGTCATAAAATATTGACAATAAATAATAATAAAACAAAAAGTAGAAACTTATAAGAATTTATATCATCCCTATGCTTTTTTTGTCTAGGTCATCAAGGCAAAAAAGCATAGCGTAGGACCCTGAGCTTCCAAGCTCTCTCGTTTATGGCACATATACATTTCAGATGGGCACCAAAAAATAATAATAATTTGATAACCGCAATCAGTACTACAAGCTGGATCGACATTTGTGTACACTGTATTCATGTATTGTAAAACTGTGGAGACAATGTGCAATAAAACGATGAAAAATGTGAAGAAATTGTGTAGAGAAAGAAAGGGATTCAAACAAGAGTTTTGCCGCGTGGTAGGTCTTTGTTACATCTTGCCGTGTTGGAAGCTTTGTACATACGTAAGTTAGACCCTGAGCTTTGTGTTCAGAAGGACAATGTGTTGTCTTTGCAGTTGTTTGGCACTGTTCGTCGTGAAGGTGCGAAATAGATCTCTTGATGTTTCTCTCTTTTTCTTGTCACTACGTTTTTGTCACTTATTGGATTTGCATGCTGTTTTCTTAATTCTTCACATCTATTTTTTCGTGTCACTTCTACACATAATTGGAGTGATATATTTCTGAACTTCTTTTCCTTATAGTTGTAGTCTTTTAGCTTATTTCCATCATTCCCTGTAGTATTTTGACAAGAAGTTAACGAAAACGTTCAATACTTTGACACATGTCCTAATTGGCTGGTGATAACTCTTGCGTAGATGCATGCGTAGATAATACATTTTTTGTAATATTTTCTGCCTCCGTCCTACTTTCAAATAATAATAATAATAATAATATTGGAAACTTCAAACAACGAAGGGGTCACGGGTAAAACATTTCCGTCTGACAGCTGTTTCGCCTATCAAAGGCTCGTCAGAGAAGGTGATACTGATATTGTAATTGACATGGCATTCTGATTTTATACGGTGTAATTATTATGGGCGCAAGATAGAAACTAGGCAAGGTGTAACACTGAGAAGTTCCAAGAACATTCTCAAAGCCCTTGGTTCTAGGAAAATAGCAGGTGACAAACTGTATTCGTCCAATCTCTGGAGAAGAACTCTCTCTAACGTCTTATAGTCTAAGTTCAACTTTCAGACAAAATTTGAAAAGTTTTATGAATGTTATTTTTATGATGAAGAAAGGAAAAGGATAAAATGTTATGACAAACTGTCCACCAACGTAACCAGATCTTATACAGTCAGCGAGTGCGACAAAATGGCACAAAACTGACAAGGAGTACTGAGACATTCGGCGACCTGACACCTAGCTCCAACACTTCTTCAAGGCGCAAACCAACAACCTTCCAACTTGGAAGGCTCAGGTTCGGAAAGTTCCAAGAGGGGAAGGAAAGCGCAATGAAGAAGAGCACGAGCTACGCATCACGGCAAAAAGTTGGTGGACAGTTAGTCATAACTTGTAACATTTTGTCCTTCTTCGTTTTTGACTTTACAATGTAATAATATTGATGATTCTCATCTTCACAGTGGAAATTCTTGATTTCGCTCTTTTTTCTTTTACAGATATCACCCTTGTTGGTGGATATCAAGTTCTCCCAAGTGGTAAGTTCTGTGGACAACTCTGTCATTCTTCCTAATTGCATGGCTGCATGAGGTAAATACTTCCACACCCTAGCAGGGTGTCCGTCTACTCATTGTAAGAACCTTTCGACTTTTTCTACAAGGGTACCTTTCACGGCTAAATTTCTGGATTTATGACAGACACCAACACGCTCACTTGACAAAGGCAACAGCATATTCCCAACAATCTTCCCAACATCATTGTAGCACATTGCTGGCGCAGCACTGCAGCTCTCACCTTCTGCGGACGAACAAGCATTCACTTCTGCTGCCGAAGGTGGAGTTACCAAAACTGCTTGCACGTCGCAGCCATCCTCTTCCGAGGAGCTTGAACTGCACGAAGTTCCAACTTCACTAGCAGCCTCAGCGTCATCATGTGGGACATCGTTTCTCCCCAACAAAAACTGGTCCAGGGAAAGCTGACTGCAAGCTTTCCGCTTTGGTGGGCGTTTGGACATTTCGGACTAGCCAGACGTCAACGGTGTTTCACGAATTGAATTCATTTTTAGAATCTGCCGGTGCTGCTATATACCATGAATGTTACGAGTCCAGCGTACCAATTGTTATGCAATATGTAGCGCGATATAATTATATGGAGTGAGTGAGAAAGCGATTATGTGACTTGTTGTCACGGCCTGCTTGGTCATCATGTACTATGTAGACTCTACATAGGAGCAATCCAGCAAATATGGGAGAGTGTGGTTCTATGAAGATAGCTGACATGACATGACAGGTGGCTGAAAGTGCAAACTGAAAGCTGTGCATCAAAAGGTCATAGCATAGGCACTACTTGTAGGTAGATTATGTACTAGGTCTACGCTAGGAAAGACAAGTGATTTGTAGTTGGCTACATGACACCATACCAGTACAGTGATTGAATCATGTACTGTAGTAGTCTACATGTACATGGATGGTCAGTTGCCAGCTAGCCCACATCAAAGAGCACAACGACGATGAGGACCAAAAGTCGCACGAGTCACCTGCACTTTTCGTGTGTTACAACATCGTTTTGACTCGACTGGGCCTACATGTAGCGCCTAGCGCGCCTGGGCTCATGCAAGATTGGGAGTTCAAATAAATTTGTGTACTTGTCTTCAAGAAGTTTACCCTTCGCCGTCAAGCCATCGATAGATCTACTGTGCGAATGCAGTTAGCTTTTTTGAGCTCCGCAGTTTTCGCAGGTTTTGCAGTAGCCAGCCGGCAGTAGGCCGGTCTGGAGAAGGGTAGGTACTGGATAGTTAATTAGTAATAGATAGTTCATTAGGTAGCAGCCTAGCAGTAGCATTTAGTGGGCCGAGATGTCCCGATCTGGAAAAACCGCCATTCGCGGGATGACCGAGTCGGAGATCAAACTGTTGAGTTCCCTCCCAGGAATTGAGACTTCTGTCGTAGAACTAGTCACAACACTGTCCTCCCTCGTGTCACAGTCGGCCGACCGGGAGACACGCCTGCTGAACAAGATCGACCTGTTGACGAAGCAAGTGAATGCACTCAGTGAGGATGTTGTTTCGCTCAAAGAAGCCGCCATTGTTTCGGCGAGTGTCTCTCCCCAGGCCCAGTGCCAGCGTACGAGCAAGACATCCCGTAGACGCTCAGCCAGGAAAGCTGGCCGTGCAGCTACGGGCACCAATGACCCCAGTAACTGTATGAGTACTACAACTGCACACCGTAGCGTCTGTGACAGCGTCAGTGACACTGACGACACTGAAAGCAGTGATCAGGAAGCTACACACCCTGCAGCAGGTAAAGGCTCCAAGCTCCAGCAGGCCAAGCGCAATGACGGAAGAAGTAAAGCCATCCTGGATGTCATTGCAGATGACAGTTGGCAGTTGGTGTCAGCGGAGCC